GTTGGATGCGCTGTGCTAGTGCTGGCGGGTCTCTGATTTTGGCCTCAGTACTCACTGGTGACAAAGAGTTTCAAGGGTTAAACTGCGAGCTGACTGCAAAGTAGAGAGAAACACTTTTCCAAACATTACATTCTTATCTATGAAAAATAAGCAATAGATCCAGATAGAGACTTATGGAATGGTTTCATCATGTGGCTTCCAGCGGCACTAATCCTCTGATGTTGCTGGCATTTCTTGTAATGTAGCTCTGGATTTCTTCTGAAATCGTTGTCAGAAGGGGCTGGACTCTGATCCTGTTGTACTTACTTTGCAGAGAACAGCCCATTCCCCTTTCGAAAACAAAGATGTGCGTGCTGGAGTTCCCTGGAAAATCGCTTCATTTTCCTGCTCTTTTTATGCACTAAAATACAAAGTACACAAGTTGTTGGTGAAGAGGAAGGTACCCTATTTACTACAAGGGTGGTGAGGTGAGGTGCTGGCACAGGGTGCCCAGAGAAGCTGTGGCTGCCCCATCCCTGGCAGTGTTCAAGGCCACAGGGGGCTTGAAGCAACCTGCTCTAGTACAAGGTGTCCCTGCCTGTGGAACTGGATAAGCTTTAATGTCCTTTCCAATAAAACCAGTCTGGGATTCTGTGATTCTGTCTCTAGGGACAGACCATACCTTTGTGGAAATGAAAATTGTGTAATGTTCTATGAATCTAGTATCGTTAGGTGAATTCCTCTTTAGATGCCCTCTTCCAGCAAGTATTCTGTTAGTCCTTTATATTTGCATGCAGAGAATTTGCAAACCCAGGGTATTTGTATAAAGTGCTATGCCGAGTACCGTACTGTGAAGGTGGAGAGGTTGTTTTCGGTCTATTTAATCATTATAGCATTCTTTACTGAATGATAATATAGCAGGTAAGTATTTTGGGCAAGAATTTTGTGCAGCTTCAAATAAGCCTCTTTTTTTCCTGACCTTTCTTTGATTCTTGCTGGATCAAATGCCAAAGGGCTTGTTGTGGGAACAGGGTGAAAGCTGAAAACCTGGGGTTCCCTCTGGTGGCTGACTGCTGTTGGGAAGCACCATTTATCTTTTTAAAGGAATGATAGGTACCATGAATACAGTAATTGAAAGATGAGTAGAATGAAAACTATGTAAAATATTAATCTAAAATAGATTAATAGACCTCTGCCTTTCTACAAGACACTCTTTATAGATCTTGGTGTATCACTGCCACATAACTGTAAAATTTAATGCTGCTCGTTTCAGGTGGACTTTTTTTTAGGAAAGTATTGTGTAGCAGGAGGCATCTTTGTAATGAAAGGAGGGTGCGTTAGAATGAGGAACTGGCTTTTTTCAAAACACACTAGATTTTTAGATGTTAATGTTTCAGTCAATTGGCAGTGGCAATTACTGCCTTTGATGAGAAAACCCTCAAGAGTGCCGTTCGTGGCACCAAACGGATGTGTGTATGAGAGCATCGCTCTCGTACAAAGTGATTTGGTTTTATTCCTTTTTTTTTTTTTAAGCCACCTCAACTTCAGAAGTTACGTGATAGCTTTAGTTATTAACTATTATACCCCCTTAGAGAGTTATTAAAGATTGTTTCGCAATGAATGCATAGCAAGCTTCACAGGTGTGGTTGGTGAGTGCTCTGAGTAGAACTGTATGCTTATCCTGCGCCACACTGTCTTCAACATTTTCCTGTTCAGGAGTGGAAGCCTTTATTTGACTGATAATGCATCATTAAAACAATATCAATATTTGTTCCCTTCTTTATCTTAGTAAAAACTGAGATTGCACTCTTCCCCCCCCCCCCCCCCCCCCCCCCCAAGTAATAGAGGACATTCTGCAAATGTCTTAAGGAAAAGAGTATCTTGAGTTGTGTCCTAAACCCATACGGTAGATTTTAGTCTGGTCTAACTCCAGGCTAAATTTCTGGGGGTAGATTTGTGTAGATACACTAATCTTTGGTAAGGTGACAATATTGATAAACAACAACATAGTGTTTGGCCAGGCTTAGAAGGCTGCCAAATCCACACCTTGGAATTATCTGGCGTGAAAATAGTAGGCTGTTTGCAAAAGGCAGTCCATCTTGTTTGTTGGGTCTGAACTGAACTAACTGCCTTCATTAGTGACCTTCTCTTACTGAAAATTCAGATTCCTCCCTCTCCCCCAGTACTTTGTCTCTTCAGGGTCTTCATGAAGTTTATAATCTAGTGCTTTAAGTCTGGCTTTTAATTCAAAGCTTAAGTCTTAAATTTCCTTAATGCTAATCATAGGGGATTTATGATACGTGTTGTCAATGTAAAAAGCTGATTTGGAAGAGATACCTCTTAGTTCTGGGTTTGGTTTTTTTCATAGGGTACCACTGGTAATAATAAGAAAAATGAGTGGGATCATCCATATATTATTCTGTATAATTCAGAGGGGAAAAAACAACCCTGTGCCAAACGTGGACTGATTGGAAAGAGCTGTAGTTTCAGAGTGTGTTTTCAATGACACTAACTCTCAACCTCAGTATCCGCTGCCTTCCCCTGAACTGGATCTCACCTGATTTTTTCCCGCAGTCATTTCAGAAACACTTCTCCCTTTGGCTTTCGGGCTCTTGATCTGGGGAAGCCAGGAATTTTCGCAGAATCTTTTGGGAAACCATCTTGGCTGTGGTGCTGAATGTTCCCAGAGGAGGTTGACGTGTTCTGGACTTCATGAGTTCTGCTGAGCCTTTAATTTCACTCAGACCCTTTTACACTCAGTTCCACTTTAGATGGAGATACTTACGGAAAGATTCTGCTGTGAATCACTCCTGCTTTTGGGAACTTGTATATTTGTTTTGTTTCAGAGCATGAAGAAGTGGATAGGATGGGCTCCCACCAAGGAGTAAACCAAATCTTTTCAGGGTGTATGTGGGCTTTACTCTGTAACTCTCTTTTGAGCATTTGTGGTGTCAGTATTGATGGTAATTTTCTGTACTCCCAAATGCTACTACTTTGGCTCTGTTTTACTTCTTCTAGACTAGTTTTAATAAAGATCTCCCTTTGGAATTAGTAAATTCCATCCAAGTACCAAAACCATAAGAGATGTTTATTTCAACTTTGAACTGGTCCCTGATATTTGGCTTGATGATCAGGTTTTGTCATCTCAGCCTTTCTCGGATCTCTACTTGAAGCTGCAGTCACCTTTCATCTTAAGCAGAGAATACTCACAGAGTTTTTAAAACTTTAGATTTCTTCCCCCAGGCCCCCACCCCCCCTTCCATTCCCGTTCTTCTTTTGGGAGCTGTGCAGACACAGCACAGTCCTTCAGGTCTGACTTGGTTTCTTGATTTTTGGAATGGGGAGGGTGTGCTGGCAGTCTTCAGAGGTAGCCCTTTTTCAGTTAAGGTCCATAAATAATGTAACTTCAAGAAGCTATCTTGGTCTGGAAATGTATTGATCTCTCGGTTGAAAAACTTAACCTCTCTACTGAAGTAAATTGCTATGTTCATTTGAGGCATATTTTTGAATTGACCCAAAGTAAGTAAGATGTGTCTGCATACATCAGTACAGCAGCTGCATACAGCTGGGTTTATGTCCAGGGTAAGACATATGGGGCTTTGAGTTCAAGCCCATTGTATTCTTGCTTTGTTAACTCATAGATCGCATACCATCTTCATGTTTGAAATGTTGTCGTGTAGAACATGTGAAAAAAATATTCCTCTGTCTTATTTAATAGACCAAATTAGTTCCTATCAGTAAGTATATTCCACTTCATTACATGGAGTTTAGAAACTTGAGATAAATTGTCCAGTCAGGACACAGCTGTTCTGAGTGAGCTGGCTGCTTTATAAGTGCCTAGAAATGGCTAAAGAAGAGTCTTTCACAGGTTTAAGAATTCCCTTTCTGATATCTTACTGCTTTTACTTGTCCTTTTCTGATTGCATTAATAAATCCTTCTTAATCTTTGTTTTACAGATTGAGGAAAGGCCAGAAAAAGACTTTGAGAAGGTAAGAAGGGTCTTATGAATTACTCTGACAATAGTGCTTTCTTCACATTCTTTATGGTACATAGAACTCACGGTAAGTGTACAGAAACCTTCTATAAAATCCATTGTGGCGCATAAACTTAAATTCATAGAATCCCAGCCTGGTTTGGCTTGGAAGGGACCTTAAAGCTCATCCAGTTCCACTCCCCTGCTATGGGCCGGGACACCTTCCACTAGAGAGGATGCTCCAAGGCCCTGTGTCCAACCTGGCCTTGAACACTGCCAGGGATGAGGCAGCCACAGCTTCTCTGAACACCCTGTGCCAGCGCCTCACAGGGAAGAGCTGCTTCCTAGTATCTAATCTAAATCTTCCCTCTGTCAGTTTAAAGCCATTCCCCCTTATCCTGTCACTCCATGACCTTATAAAACGTCCCCCTTCAGATTTCTTGTAAGCCCCCTTAAGCTATTGAAAGGAGTTGTTGGAACCTTCTTTTATTACATTTTTGCAGGTGAACTTTTCAACCACTGGTCATTCAGATGTTAAGTAGTTGCCCTTTCAGCTAGCCTGAAATTGCTTTAGGCCAAGTCACATGAATACTGTGTTTGTTTAGTACATTTTAATTACAGTATTATGTAACAATAACTAATTAGTAATAAAAGAGGAGAATACTGCAGTGGCTTAATGCAGAACCCTCAGTACAGTAAAACAGTTAATGTTGCTACTGCTGCAGAGTAGATAAGCATCCATCAATGGAGAGGAGCTACAAAGTATATTATTACAAGTTTTGAAAGTATCTAGCAAGATGATACTAGCCCCTACAGACTTTTTATCGAATTAAGAATTAATAGCGGGAAGCTAATTCATGCAAACTCCTGTTACAGTAGTGTTTAAATACATCTGCTCTGTCTTTTCTCCTTAGTTTCCCTTATTAAATCTCGATCAGACCTTCACAATTTAGAAGTGCAAGGGTTGGTTACATGTATATTCAAACAACCAAACAAACTACAAATGCACAATGTATCTAGAAAAGTTCTAAACATTTTAAACTGTGTGTGATTATAGGGAGCACGTGTCTCAAGTCTATCAGCAGCTACCTTAGCTTCTCTGGGGGGGACTTCTTCACGAAGAGGCAGTGGGGATACGTCCATCTCTGCTGATACAGAGGCATCTATTAGAGAAATAAAGGTGAGAAATACTTCAAACCAGAATAAATTATTAAATATCCTTTAGACTTCCTTCCAGGAAAGAAACTGGCTTGTCCTCCCCTCCTGTCAGTTCTGCCAAAGTGAATTGTATGCTGTAAACGAAAAATGAATAGCTTTGCTAGAGACATGCTGCTGGGAGCTAGTGTGTATTGCAGGAATATTTGGGTGTATGATAGCAGAACAGACTGATCATAATGGACACATCTCATCCTAAGCTAATGAAATAGGAAGTGGACTCAGTAGAGCACAATAATAGGAGATTGAAATGAGGGAAGAATCACTGCACTTGCTGGATGCTGATTTGGGGAGGGAGCTGTATTTTTGTAATCTTGGTTATGATTCCGTGAGGTTGGACACATTAGCAAATAGTGACACAATCCAGTGTCTGTATCATTGAGTGCTAGTCTGGGTAGTCCATAGTTAAATAGTTCTTGGAATCTGTTTTTTCTTAATGTTCCCTTCTGAAGACTGTTTTAAAATGAGGAATCTGTGTTCTGTTAACTTCCATGCATCTGACTTAAAACTCTGCTGAATTTACAGCCACTTAAAGCATCTGGATGTGTATTAGGACCTCAGATAGAAGCAGGTCTGTCCCAGTTTCATCGCTGTAAAGCAGCTGAAAGATAGTTATTTCCTTGTGATCAAGGACAAAAGAGGAGAGAGACTGGAAAATAAGTTTTGAACACTTGCTTTTTCCTATCAGCTGCACTTCTGCCTGTTGGTTTGTGGCATCATTCACCTTTCTCACCATTTCTCTCAGGATATCTATGAGTTAAAGAACCAGATTCAGGATGTAGAAGGCAAATACATGCAGGGACTGAAAGAAATGAAGGTACTGGTTTATTGCAGCCTGGAGTGTGATCATTAACACTAGCTAAACATGCAGAGAGTCCATGCGGGACCTAGAACTCACCTTGCATGCTTTGCCATCTTCTGGGAGGGCTTGTAACTTGTGTGAAAAGCATTTCATGAACTGGAAAAATACCTGTTCTGATCTTGAGTGATTGTGGTGAAAAATGCTTCCATCTGTTAAGTGAAAGGCCACTGATTACTGTTGCATGTTGTCTTCGCTGTTTGGAAAGTAATCATTTTGCTAGCAAATTAAAATGACTAGTTTTTTTTTATATATATATGTATATATATATAGTTTTCTTATCCAGGGAACCTCCCAGCACTGGAAATGAGCTAGAACTCATGTCATACGGTTCTGTGAAAAATTGGAGTTTAAAAGCTTGTATGGTTTTGCTTCGATAAGGTCCAGCATAACTTTGGAAAGTTGGAAATCTGTGCCAGTGTCTCACAGGGAAGAACTAATACCTAATTTAAATCTCCCCTCCATCAGTTTAAAGCCAGTCCCCCTTGTCCTGTCACTCCTGTCCTTGTAAAAAGTCGCTCTTCAGATCTATTGTAGGCCCTTTTAGAGTCACTTTCAGTATGTCCCTTTTCAATTCATGTCTCTTAGACTGCGTTTGAGGTGAAGATGCCAAGGAAACAAAACATAGCATGCTGAAAGAGTGGTGCAGCAACTACTTCAGCTCCTTACTTGCATATATTTCCTTTCCAGTTACTTTCTGAGGTTTGATCCTAACACTTGTTTCCAAATCCTGGTGGCTTTCCTGTGCTTGGTATTTCTCATCCTTGGTCTGGAAAGTGCACCAAAGCACAGTTTGTGTTTGGATCTGTACAAATTCACATCCTTAAAGACAAATTGTCTTACTTCTCAAAGCAAAAGTAAACTAAACTGATTCAACTTTCAGGTGATTTTTACTATTATTTCAATACTGTAATTCCCAGTTCTGTTTATTGAATGAAATAGGAAGTATATGAAACTCACCTGTGCTTTAGATGTAATTATTAGGGTTACTTTAGTTGCAAGAGAAATTGCTTGACCTGTAAACTAAAATCTCAACATCCGTGCCCTCCTTGTTTGCGTATTTGCACTGTTTTATGTAACTCTTTCATTTCTGTATTAAAATCAAATACTGCAAAGTTTGACTGCACGAACACAGAGAATTATCCTGATCGTTATTTTGCCATCATTTATTGTTACAAATACCCCAGTATCTTATATTCAGGTCATGTTGGTAGGAGTGGTTTCCACAATACTGGGAATTGTATCTCGCGGAGTGAATTTGTAAAGAAGGGATGAGATCCAGAAAACCTAATGAAAAATGATACATCAGGTCCTAGAAGCTGCAGCTTTTTCACCGTGAATTCTGAGTCAGTATATTCAGTTGTTCCCACACTTCCAGGATCCCTGCAAGTTTGTGTGAAGTGGCTGTCAAACTGCCTCATTTTAAGGCCTAAGGTCATCTTAAAATGATCTTAAATCAAGCCCAGTTTACCTTTAAGAAAACCCAACCAATAGTCCTGCATGTCATCTTCAGCAGCTGCTTTGAGCTGCCAACCTGCAGGGGCAGGGGAGGAGGGGAAGGAAGAAAACTGAGAAGGCAGAAGCTGAAGCAGCAGAGAACAGGAAGCATTTTATTTGTCCTGAGGTAAGGTTCCTTGCTTATAAACAGAAGTCTGGTGGGAACAGGGGAGGTTATCCTCACCTTGGGACAGTTGGTAAGCATCTCTAGCACATGATTACACTGGTTTCCCTGGGAGTACTGAGCATACTTGTGATTTAGCGTTTAATGTTCTCGTTGAAGGTCTTGGTTGGCAAAGGATCCTTTATAGCTCTCTGTGGTTGCTTATTCTTTGCAGGACTCTCTAGCCGAAGTTGAAGAGAAATATAAGAAGGCTATGGTGTCAAATGCTCAACTAGACAATGAAAAAACAAATTTCATGTACCAAGTAGATACCCTGAAGGATGCGCTCTTAGAGTTAGAAGAACAGCTGGCAGAGTCCAGGCGGCAATATGAAGAAAAAAGTAAAGTATGTATAATAGCAGTGGCATGTTATACAATGGGGAGGTTTTGTGAGGGGGTCAGAGTCCTTTGGGAGGAGGCAACCAAAATGCTATTTAAGATTTTAACTAAGTTACTGTTTTAGTTACTGTTAAAGCAAGTGGAATAGCAGCTTGTAATGTGCTTGTGATTATATAAATGGAAATCTTCCCTGAGTTTGTCTTAAAAAGCAATTTCTGAAGCAGTTAAGAAATGTTTTATATGGTAAGGCTATATTGATATTATCACATGCCCTTTTATATTGTATCTTTAAATTCAGAGGGTTTGTTCATAGTGACTTCTGGAGCATTTTTACATACAAAAGTCTCTTCAGAAGGCTTGTGAGAGAGTTCTGTGCAATTGAGGGTTCAGTTCAGTTTAATGTTAATTCAGCATCTGACAGCCAGTGAGCTGTGTTAAATAATAAAGCTGGGGCTTGTGTTAGCTTTTCAGAACTGGCTTTTTAGCTTGGGGCATTTAACTGTAGTGCTCTTCAAAAAGCACAGTTCCTGGGAGATAAGTGTGGTACAAGGGTACGAGGGGTTTGGTTGGTTGGGTTTTTTTGGTGCTTCATTATTTTGTTGTTTCATGGGGGGGGGGTGGTGAAAGAGGTTGTTGGTGGTTTTTATGCAGGTTGTTTTGGGGATTTTTTGGTGATGGGGGTTTTTTGTTTGGTTGTTTTTTTCTTGCCCACAGTGTCTAGCTGACTTTTACTACATGGCTATGTGAAAGGGTTAAATTCCCATCCATTTATCTGTGAAGTCTGTAGGATTTGAGATGCTCATTGCCAGCCTGCTGCTCAACTTATGAAACTGGCTAAATGATGTCTGCCACTTCTCTATTTGTTGGAATAATGGTTTCTTAGAAAAAGCACAAATGAGACTGTACAAAAAATTGTACTCTTAGAGGACTGTGATTAGAGGAATATTCAAGAATTGCACAGCAATAAGCATTTTCTTTGTGTTTGGGCTTATTTTCTCTTTTTTTTTTCATGGGATGCTATTTTTGATCAATAAAAATCTCATTATTATTTCATTATAGGAATTTGAGAGGGAGAAGCATGCTCATAGCATATTGCAATTTCAGTTCATGGAAATCAAAGAGGCTTTGAAGCAAAGAGAAGAAATGCTTGCAGTAAGTAACCTTTTTGCTTTAATGGCTCCTTTGATTGGTATGTTCCCAGTTAGCCATAGGAATGTGGAACGTGAGGCACAGAGAATTTTATTCCCTACTCAAGTTTTTCACCTGAAGAAATATTAGTGTTTCAGTCTGAACAGGTTCAGAGCTGGCTAATGGAAACAGCACTTTCCTAAATATTAGCTGAAGTCGGACTTCTTTTCTTGCCTGGTCCTGAAATAAGCTGTGTTTTGCCAGCTGTTTGTGGAGATGCAGAAGAAACTGATGGAACAGTCTTAATTGTTTCAAGTCAACTCGTGACTTGTAAGACTGTCTTTAGGAGCATAGGTTTAGTTCAAATGTCGGAAACAGTACATACATAGATAGCCTTTAGCACCTGACTTGTTTCATTCTTTGGCATCACTGTGATCTTGACCTTCTTTGCTAACCTGTTATCTGCTTTCTGTCTTCTTGTTTTGCTCCTGTCTCTCAGGAAATCCAACAGCTGCAACAGAAACAGCAGAGCTATGTCAGGGAAATTTCTGATCTTCAGGAGACAATAGAGTGGAAAGACAAAAAAATAGGGGTAGGCCTGTCATCTCCTGCAGTGTTCAGAGTGGTCCTTTTGTTCCGCCAGCTGACCCTGCTTTTGCAAAACCTCATGAATATAATCCTCCTTAGTGACTTTGCTTTGTGTGGCTGTCTTACTGTCTTACCAATGAACTAGCAAATAGGAAATTTTTTCTTTGGCAAGTATCATGAAATCCAATAAAAATTTAGCAGCTGGTCTGATTTCAAAACCTGGGGTCATTTATTTGCTGTGGTGCACCATTTGTATTTGCCTTATTGAGAAAGGAGCTGCTATTTATAATGCAGTTCCATCAGCACTGAATTTTTCCTTATTCAGATTTAATCTGCAGACTGAGCAGAAACAGAGGTAGTGTAGAGCTATTTATGGGCTATTGGGATGTAAGTCTTTAAACCTCTCTTGCTTCTCATCCCTTCCCACAGCCCCCTGTCAAAGGCAAATGAAAATCCACTCTTAAAGAAAAGCTTGGATTTCTTTTCTAACAATGAGCCAAAAGACTTTTTGAATATAGAAGGAAAGAGAAATCTGGGAAGTTGCCTGTTGTGATACTTGCAATGTCCAACAACTTGTAGCAACTTAAAACTCAAAGCTGTGTAATTCTTATTGCTGTTCTACTTGTACTTCAATAATATTGAAATATTGGGGGGGGGGTGATGTCAGTAGCAAAATACGCATTTGCATGTGGTACATCTGAGTCTAATGATGACTTAATGGCAGCTTTCAAATTAATTGAAATGTACTGCACCAGATGGAACAACCATGGAATAAAAAGCCTGGTAAAATCTGCTGCCCCTGCTTTCAAACTTTCTGTTAACACATGGGCATGGCACTGTGTCTTCAATGGGCATGATGAAGTAATAGAGATATGAATTAACTTGTCTAGCAGATATGAGTGGATCCTGGTAGGATTAGGCTCAAAATGTCTTCAGTAGGAATTCCTGGTTATTGAATAAGCTGTGCCTTTCTTGGATTTGAAGTTCATCTGTGTGTATGTAAACTTGGTCCTTTAATGTGTAAACTTTATCTTTTTCATACGTGCCACTTCCATCAATCTCTGAATATCTTAAATCTGCTCATTCCTTGTTTACACTTGCTTTTCATGGTCTTTACTTCTCTCCCCTCCTTTCTTTGCATCTCCTCGCCCTCTGTTTGTGTTGGGAACTCAGGCGTTAGAGAGGCAGAAAGATTTCTTTGATTCCATAAGGAGTGAGCGGGATGACCTTAGAGATGAAGTGGTTGTGCTGAAGGAGCAACTGAAGGTATGGAAGAGGAGTGAAAGAGATTTCTGTTCAGCACCTGACCTTTCCCTCCTGTACATTTGTGCAGAAAATTTGAATCCAGCTCAGCAACAAGAACTCTGTTTTTCATGTTGCCTATAATTTGCCATTTCAGGAATTTTCTACATAAAGTCCATCCCCCTAATATAGACTGTGAACTCGTAGTATAGACTGTAGTATTAAGTAGCTGCTTTTGTAGAAGATGCTTCTTTGAGGAACATTTTCTGCAGCAAATGTACGGTTAAAGAAGCAAAGAGCTGGGATCACATGCTTCTTTCCTACTGGCCAAACTGAAAATTGTAATATTCTGTGCTCTTTTCTGACTTCCAGCCATGTTTAGTGGAACCATTGAAGCAATTGTTTATTCAGAATACAAGGACAAGAACACTTGAACAGTCCCACCCTTTCTGAGCAGCAGACTCTAAAGCATTGCTTTTATTTCTCCACAGAAACATGGAATAATCCCAGATTCTGATGTAGCCACCAATGGGGAGACATCAGACATTCTTGATAACGAAGAACACTTGGATTCTTCCAAAACTGTTCCAGGCACAACTCAGGCATTGAAGACTGGAGGGGATGGGATGTTAGGTAAGCGCTGTATCTTTTTTCATATCTTTCTGTCTGTCCATTCATTCATCTTTGCTTGGAGTTTGGGCATTTGTTAGTGGGACAATTAACACATCACGCAGCATGCTACATTTTAAATCACTTACCATGCATTTTTCCGCATGATTGTCATGATCGCTTCCAACTATTTGTGCAGTTTCCTGCAAAGGCAGACTTAATTTCCCATTCAAGGTGATAAAGGATGAGAATACAAACATTACATTACAGATAAACAGCAATCATTCAGATTCCTATTTAAAGCCTGAATTTGAATAGCACCCCAGAGCAATCTGACTACTGTTCAGTAGTTTTCAGCACATACGTTAAAGAATCGGGAAAACAAAAAAAGAATTTGTTTCCTTTAAAAAACTTGTTGGTTCATTTATATACCTGAGAACTTGTGGCTGCTGAACAACCGTGCTGGGCACTATTAAAACACTAACGTACGAATTCTTTGTTCTTGGTGTCCTGTACTACTGAGCAGTTAATATTAGCGCTTCCACATTTTACTTGTTATGTTAAAGCTGTTAAATTCAAAGAGTATAACTGAGATGGATAGCATTAAGAAGAAATCTGGTTGGCAAAACCATTCTTATGCAGTGGTGATGAATGGCCACTCCGAGAACTCTTATACTAGTGTAAGGAAAGGAAATAGTAATTATTTGTTGTTCTAAATGAACATACTAATAAATAGCAGTAGGTAGTCAATGTTGCTTTGAGCTTTTGGCTGCTTTTACCTCAGTCAGTTTGTGTGCAAACAATATGGAACACGAAAACCAAGGTAAGGGTATATTTTTAAGTGTAATGTGTTCTCTCTCTCTCTTTATTCTGGGTTGGTTGGGTTTCGGGGTTTTTTTGTGACCCAAAAGCTAACTGCTGAAACCACAAACACTGTTGTTCTAATACCTGTTGCTTCCAAATTATAAGTTGAAGGAAAATTGTTTAAAACCCCTCCCCAAACCCACAGAAGTCCCTATGCATTTGGGTGGATCAAGTGGCTGTAAAGGGCAGTAAGTATACCTGAGCTTTGGTAATGCTAAATAGCTGAACCATTTGCTTGCCAATCAGATTTTGTGTTCAGTGTTTGTCATATACACTGATCATGATGCCCGTTCATGACGCTTAGAAACAAAATATTTCTGAATAACCCTTCATTACTTCATAACGGCATCAGACACACACTCCATGCATAAAATGGTGTCAGGATTAAAGCTGTAAAGGTTCTTGCTGAAGGAAAAGTAATCTTTCCTGTAGTGGTACCTCTGCAGGTATTACCACTCAATTGCACTGCTTGAAACAGTTGTTCTCAGCTACAAAAGCTGTAATTCACACAGCCAAGAGCATAAATCTTTGACTTTATAAACACACAAGTCAGCACCAAAGGCTTCTTGCTTTGAGAGGGTGGTGGTGAATTTCACTGATCAAAAACCTGGACTCTGACTAATTCAGTCACTGCTTTGCCTCACGTAATTGGCAAAAGCTGATCTTTTATTAACCTATTCTTTGATTCATTCTCTTTTGGGTTTAAATGGGGAGGTAAGTGCTGTGGGGTGGTCCCTTCAACTTTCTTAATGGTCTTTTAGGCAAAGCCAGTGAAGTGGACATGAAAAATGAGATTTTGGAGGATATGGGGAAAAGAGAAATCTTGCAGAATACTGAGCATGAGGAACACAAAGAGGAGTCTGAGGAGCAGGAATTGCATGCTGGTGAAAATGCAAAGGCACAAAAAATGGTTGAAGAAAGTGATGCCCTGTCAACAGTGATGTTACCAGATAGCAGGTTTACAGTACAAATTCAAAGCCTTACAGAACACGTATCAGGGAGTACTTCTTCAAGTGATGATAATGGTGCAGATGATTTGAGAAAGGTGGCAGAGTCTGCAGGCACAGCAGTCCAGCAGCCTGTCAGTACAGAGGCTGAACACTGTGACTTGAATGCAGTGTCAAATCAGAACTTGGAGGTGGGCTCTCTTCAAAGTCATCAGATGTTTGACCCTCCTCAGGAAATGCATAGTGACTTAGGTACAGAGCATGAACTGGAAAAAGCTGCATCCCAACAGCAAGATCAAGAGGATCTTAAAAGTAGCCATGTCCTGAGTGATAATGAAATGGATCAAGAGGCCAAAATCGCAAGTGAGAGCTGTGAGTTGGCTTCTAACCAGGCAGGGTTCCCAGAGGTTACAGCAGCAGGCTTAGTTAGTGAAGAGTTAAAAGTGGAGAGCCACACCGAGGCACTCCAGCACTCAGAAGAAAGTGCCGAAAACCAGGTTACAAGTGTCTTGGAGGAAAACTTTGTTGAAGGCCAAGACAGTACCGATGGAAGAGCTGGAGAAACAGGTGATAGATCTGAACAAGAAAATGAGGTTGGGAACACGGTTCAGGGTCAGTCGACGGAAACAGAGCCTGTGGGTTTGGAGGGGATGGAGGCATGTGGAAGTGGTGTCCCAGCAGCTGAAGTTGAAAAGGAAGGCGGAGGCCATCAGGCATTCATTCAGTCAGTTTCTCCAGAGGGCAGTCCTTCAGCATCATCAGAGAAACAAAATATGCAGTATGAATCTGAACTTGAAAATGCTATGGCTGAGAAGGATGGACAAAAGGAAGCATTAACAGAAGAGCTGGAGATGTGTTCAGATTCTGCAGAAACAGGCAAACAGGATAAGATCTCTGTGGAGGCTGTGGACTTTATTACTGAGATAGAAGGAAGTGTTCTACAGCAGGCAGAGCCAGACAGAGAAATTGTGGTGCAGCTCATGACTCAGGAAACCAGTTTTGACCCAAGTCTTTTAGATGACAGGATTAAGGAGTCAGAATTGGAAACAGGGGATGAGTCTGGGACAGAAAAGGAAAGTAGGACAGAATGGGTAGAAGATACAAAGCTGAAAGTAGGAGTTCAAACTGTTCAGTCTAGTGAAGAAGCAATAGGTGAGACCGTAGGAGAAAAAAATACTCCTTTTGAAGGTGAAGCACAGAATGTAGCTGAACAAGAGGAGGGTGAATCCAAAGAGGAGTCAACTGTAGATGTTAGTGTAGCTACTGGAAAAAAGGTTTATAAAGAAACACTGGAAGAAAATGAGCAAGAGTTAGAGCTTGCAGACCACCATGGTGGTGGATGTACTTCTGAAGAAGGTGTAAATAATTTCCTGGCACAGAAAGCTGAGTCGGATGCAAATGTTAGTGAACACATTATACTGGAGGATCAAGCCAAGGGAAGACTGGAAGGTGGTGGTGATGTCTTTGATTTTGATGAAGAGTCAAAACAGATACTAGAAACTGATAAAAAATGTGATGAAGAGAAAGCTTATACACAGAAATATGAGGATGATGGAACAAAGGGTGCTGCTGGAAAAACGGCCCAAACAGATGAAGCTGGAGAAGGAAAAGGCAAAATAGAAACAGAAGACATCTTGACTAAAGCTGACAGCTTGCAACAAAAAAAAGCTGATGAGCCTGAAGAAACAGGGGAAGCATCATGGAGAACTGAGGAGAAGACTGATGTGATGGAAGATGAAATCAAAGCATCAGATTCTAATAAAGTAGAAAAAATACCAGATGAAACTGTTATGGAACAGGATTTGGAAAGTGCTGGCAATAACAGGGAAGAAAGCAATGAGGACTTGCAGAGTGGTCGAAGGGGCAAGGGTAGATCTAGAGATGACTGTACAATATCCTAAGTTCAGAATCCCAAGACTACAAAAGCTACATGCCATTTGATCAGTCCCAGTACAGAGGCATGCGCTTTGCACAATAGATCAGACCTTAAGAATACTCTTAAATTGGGTTTTTTTTTAATAGGTAATTCTCATCATAATACAATCTTATGTAAGTGGTAATGATGCAAATATTAAGTTACTCACTGACATACTGGGCCACAAGAAATCGTGTGTGGGTTCAGTATTGCTGTGTCTCAGGTTAAAAGTTTATCACTGAAAAAGCAAGCTTCACAAATCTTCACTATCTTGCCATTAAAACACTTTTAGTGTGGGTAACTGCTACTGAGTAATTTCTATAGGAAACTTTGTTTTTCTAGCCTAGATGATAGATGTTTTGAATATACTTAATGTGCCCTTTGTGCACTTGTGCGCATACTTATGTGTGCTTGCATGCATGAGATCTACCCTAAGTACATTACCACTTCACGAAGGAACTCAGTGGATCAGCAACGCTGATGTGATTTTGAGCCTTCTTTCTGAATGATTGAAGCCTAGGAACCAATTTGGTCCCCCCCGCCCCCGTTGGAAAAAGATGATCCTCTCATTCCATTTTTGTGTGTTTCTCATATGGTCATAGTCCCAAGTATAGTTAGGTCACTTTGAGCCTGTTCAGTCTAAACACTTCAGAAGGACAATATTCAGTTTGAAGAAAGCACAGCGTATACACGTCTTAGTTTGCCAAAGGGAATAAATATTACATGTTTACTTCATCTGGGCACTTTGCGCCACATAGGCCTTTACTCCATGGCTCACATGGGGGTTTTTCTGTTTTTTTCTGAAGAAAGTGTTAGTACACTCTGTAATGTATGCTTAGATTTGCTATCAAGTACTGTGTAGTTATGAATATATAAAATACCTATTTTTTTCCAAGAAGATTTTTGTTTAAAACTGCATTTCTTTACACTTTTTTTTTTTTTCAAACTATGATTCTGAAAGAATCTGAAAAATTCTTTATCTCTGGAAAGTTCTTACCTCTTCCTTTCTGGAAAGAAGATAAATTTGCATGTCTTAATTCTCACTGGACATCAGACCAAAGACTATTGTTATTCTTTATAGTAGCCCCTGTGCCTTTTTGAAAAGCTGGATTGCTTTAAATTGCTGGCATAAATGAAACATTTTGACTCCATTGGTCTGTTTCTTCTTGCATTTTTGCTAGTGCTTGGGAGGAAGAGCATGTCTTGCATACTTAAAAATCCATTTAAAGTTGTTCTAAGCAATGAACATCCCAAGGAAATGCAAATTGAGGAATTGGGGGGGGGGGGGGGGGCTATGGAAGGTTGTATTTGTGATGTTGCAAAGTTGATGGAGTACAAACAGACTGCAAAATGTCAAGATGTATATCAAAGTGTACTGAGCTGTATATAATTGAAATAAACATTTTATACTCTAAATTGCCTGTCTAGAGCGCTGTTTATAAACCTGCATCAATATTTATTTAAATCTGTATAATGTAAAAAACATTTTTTTTTTTTCTGCAGCTTTGTTTAAATTGATTGTGTTGCGCTACATAGCTAGAAGACCTATTTTACTAGGAATGGGCAGCCTTGGTGTTTGAAGACTTTTAATATATGATAGCAGCCTTTACAGTTCTGTTACAGGTCATAGGTAACCTGTAACCCTTTTTTTGTACGGCTTCTCTCCAACTTAGAACAGTTTCAGTATGTTTTCCCTAAGTACTAGCAGTTGTTCTTAAGGATTTACCTTAAATGCTAATCTAAAAAGTCATAGACCGTAAAAGCATCTTTCATTACTGTGTGGTAGTGTTTATTTAAAGATTTGTCTCTGCTGTACTTGAAACAATAATGCATGGTTTAATGTTGAAAGTATTTTAAATGCATTTGTATTTAAATGCTAAATACAGTTAAATATAGAATTAAACATCCTCACCAGGCTTCACCTATACTTGTGGATGGATCCATAAGCAACTCTCAGTGAAATTAGGAACATGCCAGCATTTTCTGTATTTTTCATACAAGTTTGTTTCTAATAGAAATGCTTCTGGATAGTTGAGGAGATACTGAACTAATTTGAACAAGTTTTTCCACTCCAGAAAACAAAGTATCTGTAAGAGAGGTCCTTTTTAAAGCCAAGTCACAGAAGGAGAAACAATTCTAGTTTTAACTGACCATTTACAAGCTTTTATCCCACAGTAAGTGTCCGACTCTCAGCGAAACTAGAGTAGGAGCAAGAACATCGGCATAGCTGATGTACTAGAAATCCATCCTTGAACGTTACTGCTTGGTACCTCTGTTGGTAGCTGGTCGCTGACTTCTGGAATTGGGCAAGTACCATGGAGGAAAAGGTCACTCGTTTCTTTTACCTCTTTCATTTTTGCTTGAGTATATACGCACATCAGGTGAGAGGCAGAGATCTCCCAGATAAATCAGCTTCAAGATAAAGGGAACTGCTAGATGTTCTATTCAAAATTGAGTAATTTAAATATTATATGCCAGCTAGCATTGAGTGAAATGTGTGCCATTAAAAAGGAGAGGAGATGGTGTCTCAGGAGGAATTACCTAGAAAATACATCTTTTGTAAAGTTACACAGCTGAGAACAGTTTTTAGCATTTTCCCTCTCATATCTAATGGAAACACGAAAAGATGCAGTTTGTCCCTGTATTGGTTTTGACTTTTAAGGACAGCGAAATAGCAGATCATTCTTTTCATAGTCTAACATGAAACCAAGAAATCATGAGAGGACCTAAAACCAAGATTCATATTTTCTGCTATTATGTTACCCATTTTGCTTTGGGCAGGGACAATCTGATGAGCACCACCTGCAGCGTGTAAGACTTGTCTCTCAAAATAGCTCCATAGCTCCAAATGCTCACTGAGTTTTCTGTTCCAAACCTAGTGATTGGCACGTGTGGCCTCTAATCCTGATTTGTGCATTACTGTGAATTTGGAGCTAGCTTGAAATGCTTTCAAAAGCAGTAGCTGAAGAAACTCGTTTGCCTTATTCAGTAAGTAATAGTGAAAAACTTTGGTCGGTGTTTTCTTATTACAGAAAGGAGCAGACCTCCTGTCCCTCTCAAAATCAGTATTGCAAGCTTGTTTCTTGATCTTATGCTCATTCACTGACCCAACAGCCTGTCCTCAGCAGTGTCTCTCTTTTGGAAAGAGGGGAAAGTATTTCCCAGAGTTTGTTATTGTTGTCTCCTGGTGATCCAGAATAAATCAGCAGAACTTGAAAAGGAGTATTATCCAACCTGCTATTGATCTCCTAGTTTGATTCTTGGAGGCTGTAATGAGTAGCTGCTTGGGGCTGCTGGTACGATTTCGTGGGATGTTTTCCCATCCTCCAACTACAGTTTACCCCTTGCAATTGCATTGGGATTAGTTACTTTCTGGGCCATACATCATGCAAATAATTTGTGTTAAAATCAGATACTGTCCACCCTGGGCTCCTCTCCAGGTAGGAAGATGCATCAGGGATCCGTGGCTGATTAAGGGGTGTTAGGTCAACTGTGCCACTGGAACAGCACCCTAGTTAGTAATACCTTCAGTCAATTATAGTATCAAAGGAATAAGAATAGTAATTTGACTTGCAAACAGGCCTGTACAATAGCAGAAGACACTGGTAACCACCCCCACACACACCCTGTGTCCTGCTGTCTCCCAGGCCTTCCCAGGGCCCAGCTCCTTCCATCTGCCTTCTGTTAAGCTCTTCGGTGTATGAAAGCCATGTATTGGTGCAGTGACTAGCCAGGGAATCATGTTACCAAAGTTAAATCTAAGTGAGATGAGTGTCACAGTGCCATTGTTCATCTTTGCATGTGAAATAGGGATGGTGACAGTTACAGATGGACCATTTTAATTAGCTGCTTTGCGTCCTAATTCAGTAGATTGCTCTTTTCTGCTCACCTGTCCTCAAGGTCCTCAGATCCTTGATGTTGGAAAAATGTCTCCTAACTGCAAAATTAACGTGACTGCAGAGATACCTGTTAAAGCTAAAGTAAGTTTTTTGTGTTAGTGTGAGGTTTTAAGAGAATGAGACCCAAGAGACTTTTGCCCATGCATGCAGAAAAATTTTCCACATGAATGGCAGTTTTAGCAAACTGAATTTTTTTTCTGTGGTCTTGTAAATTCTGATGCGAGTGTGTTATCTGCCCCAGTGGGCAGATGTCCATAATGGGTGAAGAGAGAACTGACGGTGAGACAGATTTGAAGGTCCATCCCAAAACACAGGGAGAGGAGCTGGAAGAATCTGACACGCTTCTTTACTGGAAACTAGAGGAGATGTCCTTTTTTCAGGCGGGCATTCTTCACCCCACAGCAGCACTTGTGTTAATGAAAGTCACTTAGCTGAGTACATGACTAAGTTATTTTCAGGATCAAGATGGATTATTTGGACCCTTTGGAGTAAATAAATCTGGGCTAATTTTGTAGGGCCTAAGAATTTTCTTCTGCATCAGTTCTCATTCTCTTTCCAATCCGTAGAACTTCATTTCTCAGTCTCTGCCAACCTATGACTTCAAGCCCTATCTCCAAGTCTGAATATTGCTGACCTTTCTTTTACTTATCCTGTCCTTGCTTTCTTCGTTGACCATTATTTTTCTTCCCTATATTTCATCTTTCACAGAATTTCTCTTAAGGTTCCTTTCCTTTTCATATAGATAAGTGGAATTGTGTGGTTATTTTGAAGGGATTTATATTTGTGAATTTCTGTTACTCATGGCAGGTTACAAAAATCTGGTTTCTTTGTTCATTTTTTTCATATCAATGCTCAGGTGTAACAATGGTGGGTGTGTTACAAATGGCTGGGAGGATAGGACTTGAGGAGGTTCAAAATGAATGCGTAGAACTGCTGAACTGGGATGTCGCTTTAAGATCTATATTTGTGTATTGCATCAGAAGTCAAGGTAAAGGTTTTATTCCCTGCTTTAGAAAGACTGCTGATATATGGGGACTTGTATACCTAGGAGGGGAATGACATGACATACCACGTTACTACTAGCTAATGTCTGCCATGTAGAGGGGCTCATATGAAAGCCAAGTTTCCCCATGATCTGATTCAGTACAGACTTTATTTCCTTTACTGCATGTGTTAACAAGAAAAAAAGGGGAACCACAAGACTCTGGCACGTTCATGATTTGTCAGCAAACGAGAACTGGTATTTTTAAGGCTTTTCAGAAATACTTAAGTCTATCAACAGAATTCCCCTGGCAGAAGCCCACCAGAGTTTTCTCTGTAATTTGTGAATTGCTTTCCTTAAGTTTACAGAAAGACCTTTTTCTCAACTAACCATTTAATTATCAGGCACAACCTTAGATGTGGAGCTGAGTTCTGAACACCCTTGGTTCTGAACGGGTGACAACTTGCTGGCAAGGGAGGCAAGCTAAATAAACCTGCAGAAAACATTCATGTCAAACTTGTGGAGTAATACCCGTCTGAGGTCAATATATCCTGTATGTTGTACACATAAGTATAGTTGAATGCTATATTCCAGTCTACTTCTGTTGATGTGTATCTGAACAAACTAAGGTTGCTAATAAGGTAAAGTAACTTTATTGATAAGGAAATTTGTGAGTACCTGCTAAAATGCTTTCACATTCTGCACCCCTTAATAGGGAACGGAAAACCCAAGTGACTTGGTTACTTTCTAGTTCTTTTTGCCAGCTGTCTCGTTCTGTAGTGTGCACTTTATTAATGAATGCCCCACACATCCATGTGTCGATCTGTAGCACTTCTAAGTTCAAGTGTAGCACAACAGCTGGTCCAGATTGTCCATTGCCTACTTGATGTTTGACCAGGAGAATTGGCTATGAAGGTTTAAAGAGAAAAGAAAGCTTTACCAGACTGCTGTTAGAAACAAAAAATAATTGAATGGGCAAAGGTTTGTTCTGGTCATAATATTGGACATAATACAAAATGCCATTGCCATGCTGTTTAGTAAAAGAAGTGATGATGTAAAGTGCTGAGAATGTGCTTAGCTACAATTATAGGTGTCTACAGTATTTTCAGTATGCTAAACTGTAAAGATTTGAGATATTTTGTGTTGCAGTTGTGTTTGACCCTAGAGTTCTTGCATGCTAACCTAACGTAGAAGATTAGCCTCTTTGCATGCAGCTGGGTGCTGCTACTGCCGTGACAAGCATGTTCTGTGAGAATGACATAACCTCCCTTGGCTGCAGCCCCTTCCCAGCCCTGTCTGTGGCCTCGTTTCCTGTGGTACGTGCATAATTACATTCATCATTCATTTCACTAACCTTAATGGTTCATTCTTATATCAGAATGCACTCTGAAATGTGCAGCGCAATCAAATCGGCACTGAACTTTCAGTTTTCTTTTTCAGACAGGCTGAAAAAACTCATTGATGAACGAGAATCCTTACTAGACCAGGTAATCACAGGAAAACACAAATGCTGTGTGCTCACTAACTGTGATAAGAATAGCATAGACAAAGAAAACCAAAATGTAAGGCATAGAACAGCAGTGAGGTTGCCTTTCAGAAGGTGTGCTGGGTTGCTCTTGCTGAGAACATACTTCACTGCTTGCCACTTTATTCTTCCCCTGAAACATTCTTCCTGTGCATTAACTTAGGATACAGGGGAAGAAAAACATGACCCAGTGTGCTTGTTCTGTGTTGCTAACCAGTCACATTCAGTGTCCTTAGTCACCTACAACTCCTACTCCAGGAGTATATCTGAAAAATAATACTTCAGATTGGCCAAGCCCAAGGCAAAACCAAATACAGTCCAGAAAATTTAGAAGCAAATATTGTCTCAGAGAGTAATCCTTCCTCATTTGTGGGTAATGGGCCATTTGGAAGAAAATTCTGGAGGAATTGCAGTAGATGGGTAAATAGCAATTAAAGTAAGTATTGCTGGTACCATGATATTCCATAGCAGATATAAAGCTCACTCAAAGAAACTTCAGCTGATCTGTTTCTTTGTAGGGCACTCTACACTTTCATTTATGGACTGTATCCTTGCCCTTGAGACTTCACACACACCCAAATGGGGTGACTGGTTTTTAGGAATGTTTTATGTGACTCCAGATGCAGGACATTTATGGCTTTGCTAATAAAACAGTCGTCTTCCACTTGTTATGTTTGGTATATGCATAAGCACTGATACTTAAGATATGATGAGTCATTTGCCAACAGAATTTCTAGGAAATTATTTTGTAAGTAAAGATTTTTGGGGGCATTTAGGTTTTTAAAAAAACTTTTTTTTTATAGTATTTGAGTGAATTTGAGTACTGAGACAAAAACCTCCCTTACTGATTTTATTAACTAATTATTTTGTGACTTTCAGATTAAAAAATTAAAAGGACAACTGGAAGAAAAGCAAAAGAATGGCAGGATGGAAAATACGCAGTCAGAAGATGAAGTTCTGGAAAATGGGACAGATATGCACATGATTGACCTCCAAAGTGAGCCGCAATTTGATTTAAAGAGAACTTTTGGTGTCTTGCATGTGAATGAGAAAACTGTATTTGTGCAATTACCATGTGCCTCTAAGTAAAAAAATGAGCCTTTGGTTCTAAGGGAGCTTCAAACTGGGAGCCAGCCATTCACCTCTCTGCTAGAGGTGAGGGAATGATTATCCTTGTTTGAGCAAGATTGAGATTGGAAATCTCCCTTATGTTCCCCAGGAGAACTGGGATGAGTTTTGGGTTAATCTGCTTTCAGAGTGGTCAGAAGGGCATGAGGCAAGACTGGGAACAGCACCTAGCTGCTGGGCACTTGTTTTGACAGAGCACTTCCTACTTTACTGCTGCCCCAAGTAGATACCTGTAGCATGGAAATCTTGTGACAGACTTGTTAGACACTCTTAACACTTGTTCTGACATCTCTGATAAATCTGCAATTCTTTTAGGAGATGCCAACAGACAGATCAGTGATCTCAAATTCAAACTAGCAAAGTCTGAGCAAGAGGTAACAGCACTGGAGCAGAATGTAAGTTCCTGGGTTGTTCTGTTTGTCTAGGCATGATCAGAGTGCAAAGGGAAAGTGTATTTTATTATATGACATACGTATTAAGTGAAATCATGGTTACTGTGATTTTTCCCTTAAAATAAGAAGCAGGAGTATTGGAGCATCAGGGCTACTGAACTTCAGTCATTAAAGACTAAATTGCTTTCATTTATGCACGGGGAAAGTGAATATATCCTTAACTGAAGAAAAACATTCAAAGACAAAGATATGCTGAGAGCACTTACTGAACTCTTCAGAATCCTTTCTTATACCTAGCTATTGACAATTTTAAATGTCTGTCAGCATATAATGTAGTATATATAGATCTTACACAAGACTGTTCAATTTGGGCTGCTTGTTCTTGTCCAGCGTACGTCAGCAATACTCTTGCTAAGTATATTTTGTTGTTGTTGTTGCTGGAAGAATATTAAATACGGATATGTATAAAAGCTTTGGAGTAAGTTAGCATGGCCAGGCTTCCTTGGTATGTCTTTTTCCCCTCAAAACATACCTTTATTTTATTAAAGAAAATTAAGCATCTCTCTAGTTACTGCTTAACTACTGGTAGAAGTGTAAAGCTTCACAGTAACTTCTTGGTACAGCTTTTAATTCAAGAAATCTGCCTTCACCTTAGGTAATACGACTGGAAGGTCAGGTAGCCCGATACAAAACTGCTGCTGAAAATGCTGAAAGAGTAGAAGATGAACTGAAAGCAGAGAAACGCAAACTACAGAGAGAGGTAACACTAAATGCAAACTTAAATTCTTCTTGTACAAGCTGAATCTAGAAGCAGCCTTCAGATGCTCAGATTCATGTGCTGCTTTGCAGCTGTGAATGTTCCTGTGGTTTGACAAGCTGAAGAACTCCTACTTTGCTGTCCTTGTCCTTTGTGATACCTGAAGGCTCATTACTTTGGGTGTTACAAATTCTGGGTTTGTAAATACTGATCCTTTTAGATCCTTTCAGATTACTGGTCCTTTTAGAGCATGTGATTTCAGAAATTATAGCAGTAGAAAGCTGGAAATGCTGTTGTAAAGTTAATTTGTGTGCTGCATTATTTAAGCACAGTGCCACACATTACAATGACAGTCTAAACTTTGAAGCTTTCAGAGTCTAAACTTGAGGGCTAAATGGAGGGCTCTTTGCTGTCATGTGTCTGTCCATGTTCCTCTTAAAACGTTGCATCTTCAAGCTTTCTGTAAGTTTGACCTTACTTGTCTTACCAAACTTCATGTTCTCTCCAAGCAGCTGCTACAACCAGCTTAAATATGTTTGTCAGCTTCTTTCACACCCATCTCCTGAGGTTTTGGTTTGGTTTTGGGGGTTTGTTTTTTTGTTAGGTTTGTTTTTTTTCTGTGTGGCCCCTTGCTTTTTCTGTATACTCCTGCTCTACTGCCTATAAATACTGCTTTGTGCAGTCTACCTCTCTCTCCTTCTCCATCCCATGGTGGCTTTTATTGGAGAATTAAGTCACCCAATTCACAGCTGTGGCTGTAGTTACAGGAACCAAAAACATGAAATCAGGCAGTGAGTCAGGTATATGTCACCCATCAGGTATCTCTGTGCCTGTGACGTTTAGGCAAACTCTGAGCCGTTTGTTCAACATCCTGTATATAACTTTGACTCTTGGCACTGTGCTTAGAAATTCTCTCTCTCTGTGGCCTTCGAAGCATTCACTTTTCACAGAATCACAGAATAGCTTGGGTTGGAAGGGACCTTGAAGCTCACCCAGTTCCAACCCGGGAGACCTTCCACTAGAGCAGGTTGCTCCAAGCCCCATCCAACCTTGCCTTGGATACTGCCAGGGCTGGGGCAGCCACAGCTTCTCCGGGCTTCTGTTTTAACTGCTAATAAAAATTTTCAGTTGCCTTACCTTGTAAGGCAGTTCCAGCAGTATCATCAGTTAGTGTCAGTAACTAGAAACCTTGGAAAGGGAAAATACTGTGAAAATTAGCGTCTTTTTCTGCTTCCTTCCTTTAGCTTCGTTCAGCATTGGATAAAACTGAGGAGCTTGAAGTCAGCAATGGTCATCTAGTAAAACGCTTGGAGAAGATGAAAGCCAATCGGAGTGCTTTACTGTCTCAGCAATAACCATCACCTTTGGATGGAAACCACTACTACGTGACAGAATCAGAACAACGCTGCGGATGCTTCTGTCTCTTGCTGTCTGGGATGCTTTGTGTCATGCCTTCTGAGAACAAACAACCCCAGCATTTGCTACGTGCCAGCCAGCTGTGGTTCCTTCTACGCAGTCAAACCTACTGCACTATATACAGAGGAGTAGCTGATGCAAATGGCTGTGCCTGTGGGAGCCCTTCTACATCGATCAGTGGGTATATTTGAAGTACAATATCCATCTATAAGAAGCACATCAGGCATCTCATTAAGTTCTAGAAGGCACAGCAGGCATTTATTGCCATTTAAAATGGCATTCAAAGAAGACATTTTAACTAGACTGGAATTTTGTGTCTTGCTGAAAATAAAATAAAAAAAATAATAAAAAAAAAACAACCAAAAACCAACCAAGCAACAAAACCACTGTAAGTTTTGAACTTTCTGATGACAGGATCTGTAATTTAGTGACTACGGTAGAGTTATTCATAGTAGGTTTTTCATTTACAAATCACTGTGGAACCACAAGCCATTACAAAGCAAAACTCCTTCACTGGAAACCATGGAAGAAAATGGTCTTGGAAGCAAAAGTGACCTTAAATGACTTTGCCAATAAAACAAAGGTGTTTGGAGGTATTTTTGCACCAGTGGAATCATAAGACTATTTTATTTCAGGGTAAATAGACAATAGCTTCATTGAATTTTCAACTTTTATTTGTATTATTTAATCACTGCTCTTGAAGTAAACTACTTCTAAAGGATGTAAAGTTGCATTAATAAACCAGCATAAGGCTGTGTTTTAAGAAATGGTGGGTTTTGCACTTAGGTCATTCACTTTGATGCATTTCTCAAAGCAAATGTCATTTGCTTAAAATATGTAATGGGTTTTTTACATCAGAAACTATGTACTGGTCCATGAAACTAGGAAACTATGCCGCTATAAAATACAAGTCTAATTTTTAAAGTAACTGATAAGTAAAGAAGCACTTTAGAAAATGTTACTGCCTATGGTTTTTCTACAAATACAGAAGTAGCAATTTCCTTCTACTGTCATTACAAAGGTTTTCCACTCTTCATGGAAAATAATGTAACCAATTAAGATGTTGCAATCAATTTATTATAAACAACTAGCACTACAGCTCTGGTTTATTGGAAATTTTTCAGAATGTACTACTCAAAGGAGAACAGCAGTTACCTGAAGAAAAAAGCTGTCCTTCCCCCATCAACCTGAACAAAAAAGCTTGCAAGCAAGGTAGGCAACCAGTCCCTTAGGACTCTGTTCATGTAGTGAAGCAGCACCTCTTGTTTTGA